ACGACTACGAACTCGACCTCCACCTCCTGGTGTGAGGTGGGGTGCCTATCTCCACTCCAAAGTGATCGATCCCTCTGTCTCGATTGAGTTCCCCGTGAACCCGGATAGGGGGGTTCGTACCTGCTCCAGCTGCCCTCTTGAGAGTCCCAGCTTGGTGTATTGTGTCGTGGTACATGACGTTGACCGAGCTACCCGTGTCCACGAGCACCCGGTGCACCACCACGTTGTTGATGTCCAGCTTGACCACCAAGGCGTCCCGGTGGGAGAGGGCCCGTCAGGTAGGTCGGCGTCGGTGAACGTGATGGGCTCCCTCTTTGGTTTCTTCTCGTGGGGTGTTCGTGTGACCTTCCCCACGTACAAGCTTCTCGCCCACCTCTTCCGTCGGCTGGCGAGTCCCCTCCCTTGGCCCCCCGAAAATGACGTAGATGGTACGTTTCCTCGGGGCTGGGAGTCCTCTGTCGTCTTCTCCTCCTCCTCGGAGCTGTTGTCGTGGTGGTCCCTCTTACGGGAGCCGAGGTGGATGGCGCCTGGCCACCCCCCTTCCTCCATACATTGCCTTGCTTCTGGCCCTGCGCTTGGCCTTGCGCCTGGCCGGGCTTCTTAATGAATTGGCCGAGGTAACCCATTTGGATGAGCTCCTCGATTTGTCTCTTTTGGAGGATGCATTCGTCTGTATCGTGCCCCTTCTGCCGGTGGAACCTGCAGTACTTGTTGGGGTCCCCCTCGCCGATATTCTTCAAGCACTCCTCCTTCGGGAATACCACGATTCCCTGGTCCTCCGCGTGCGCCAAGATGGTACCCACAGGTTGTGTTAGCGGGGTGAGATAGCATGTGGGGTTCAGCCTGGGCCCCTCAGCGTACTCACGTCGGTGTGGCCGCGGCGCCTTGCGCTCCTCCTGGGGTGCCTTGTCTTTTCGACCTCTTCCTTCCACCTGCTCCTTCTTCCTCTTCTCGGCAGCCTCGGCGTCAGCGTACCTTGCTGCCTTGTCCATCAGGTCGGTATAAGTCCTGGGGGGGTACCTGATGAGGTCCTAGTGAAAAGCGCCTGACCTCAAGTTGTTTCGGAAAATCACCATGGCCGACTTTCCATCAAAGTCGGCGACCCCATGGCCTCTTTCTTCCACTTGCTGAGGTACTCGGCTAGTGATTCCGAGCTCCCCTGCTTCAAATCACACAGGTCGGCAATTTGCTTCTTCCGCCGTATGCTGGTGCCAAAATGGGATAGGAACTGCCGGGTGAAGTCCGCAAAGGTGGAGATGGACCCCGCCGGGAGGGATCCGAACCAATCATGCGCCTGCCCATCCAGGGTGGCGAAGAACCCCCTACATAGGATGGCGTCAGTAGCCCCGGTGATCATCATGGCGGCCCTGTACCTGCTGAGGTGTAACCGCGGGTCCGTGGCCCCCGAGTACACCTTGATGGTGGGAAAACGAAAATCTCGAGGTAAGGGTTCCTCCATGATAGTGTTCGCGAATGGGGAGGCCAGCACATCCTGGGGCTCCGGAGACCCGTCCCTCGCATCGATCTTCTTCTGGAGCTCGTCCATCCTCCTCCGTAGCTGCTCGACCTCTTCCCGATGGGAGCTCGGAGCTCTACCATCCGTTTCACCTGATCGTTCGACCCGGGAGGCCTGCTCACGTCGCGGGTGGGGTCGGGGGACCCGCCCTGCGGACCCACGCGAGGCTGCCTCGTGTCGCGGCTGGGTGCGTGGCCCATGGCTCGGCGACCTCCAAGTGACCGATTCTTGTCGCAGTGGCCGGCGGGAGCATGATTCCTCCGCCGGTGGGCCGTTGGCTGGCCTCGGACCCAGCCTGTCCCGGGCCGACACGTGATCGCCCAACCTCTCCAGGACGGGCCTGATTTGGGTTGGCGCCCTTCTATCGCCGTCGCGCTGGCGGCCTCGGCGGGAGTCCCCTCCTCCTCGCCTCTCCGATGGTCGAGGCGAGTTGACCTCCCCCTAGGTGATAGGTGCCTGGGGTGGCCTGGTGCTTGGACCGCTGCGCCCCCGGGTGGGAGGAGGTGGAGGTGACGCCTGCGCCCCTCGGGTGGCGCCTAGGTCGACTTGTTCCTCAGCCCGAAGGCCCGCCGCGACGCGCGCCAGCGCCGTGGAGGCTTGTTCAAAGGCCGCCACCCCCTCCTAGATGAGTGCGCGAGCCAGAGCGGGGCGACAGGGGTGGTGGCGGTGCACCACTGCTACGGTGGTTGGTGAGTTGGGCCCTCAGATCTTCCCCCGACCTGGTGGAGGCGGCCGGTTGGATGCTGGGGGCGGGGGCCCGTTGGGACCGTTCCCGTTCGCGACGATCTGGGTGCCGCGGGAACCGTTGGCTGGCCTCGGACCCAGCCTGTCCCGGGCCGACACGTGATCGCCCAACCTCTCCAGGACGGGCCTGATTTGGGTTGGCGCCCTTCTATCGCCATCGCGCTGGCGGCCTCGGCGGGAGTCCCCTCCTCCTCGCCTCTCCGATGGTCGAGGTGAGTTGACCTCCCCCTAGGTGATAGGTGCCTGGGGTGGCCTGGTGCTTGGACCGCTGCGCCCCCGGGTGGGAGGAGGTGGAGGTGACGCCTGCGCCCTCGGGTGGCGCCTAGGTCGACTTGTTCCTCAGCCCGAAGGCCCGCCGCGACGCGCGCCAGCGCCGTGGAGGCTTGTTCAAAGGCCGCCACCCCCTCCTAGATGAGTGCGCGAGCCGGAGCGGGGGCGACAGGGGGTGGTGGCGGTGCACCACTGCTACGGTGGTTGGTGAGTTGGGCCCTCAGATCTTCCCCCGACCTGGTGGAGGCGGCCGGTTGGATGCTGGGGGCGGGGGCCCCGTTGGGACCGTTCCCGTTCGCGACGAGCTGGGTGCCGCGGGAACCGTTGGCTGGCCTCGGACCCAGCCTGTCCCGGGCCAACACGTGATCGCCCAACCTCTCCAGGGCGGGCCTGGTTTGGGTTGGTGCCCTTCCATCGCCGTCGCACTGGCGGCCTCGGCGGGAGTCCCCTCCTCCCCGCCTCTCCGATGGTCGAGGCGAGTTGACCTCCCCCTGGGTGATAGGTGCCTGGGGTGACCGGGTGCTTGGACCGCTGCGATAATACATACAATTTAAAACTTCGTTGTTATTTAAAACTTTTTTTTTTTTTCGAGTAATGATTATTTACACACAATTTTTATATTTGTAAAATTCACAATTTGTACGTGACTATAATACATATCTATTGAACCATTGCTTTATGTAATTTTTTTTTTTTTTTTACATCATCTAACTTTTGAAAATAATTCTAGCATTATTACTACTACATAGAAATTTATCTCTACATAAATGGTGTTTATATTCAAAGTGTAATACTGTGAAATGTAAAATATATACTTATTATGATTTTAGCATTTTGTTAGTGACAAACTTAAGAAAATACATCCGATTATGGTCTAAATATATTCATACAAAATTTAAAATTTACATATTTTGATTTCTAAATATAATTCCCATAATTATTTATATTATTGAAATTATAATATATATAAAATACAATTAAGAATAAATCAATTTAATTATGTATATTCATTTATAAATTGATCTAAATATGTACATGATTAAGAACTATATTAACCATACAAAATTTTAGTTTTAATATTTTATTACTATGAAAATAAATACATGATCAAATATACTAAAAATTCCAACTATATTGTTATATATTATATTATACATTTTAATAACTATTCATTTTTATAATATTTTAGTTAAATTTATGACAACATAATTGTTTTCGTACATTACAAACAGGGACGGAGCCAGAAATTTGGTTGAGGGGGGCGAAACAGTACAGACGGATTCAGAAAATTTTTCCAGTAAAGGCGAAACATTAAAACAAAAGAGATAATTTAAAAATAAATAAATAAATTCCTTAAGAAATAGGTTGTAAATATTGTTGGATATGGACGAAAAATAAAACACATCGAAACTTTATAAAAATATTCATAACAAAAATTGAAACATAATTAAAGAATTGTAAAACTATATGATACAAAGATTTGAACCCTTGACCTCACTATTGCTAAATATATGCTTTACCACCGAATCTAACTCACTCTCATTAACATTTTATAGTTTTTTTATACTAATACTAAAACATGTACTATATATACATATATATACATACAAAGATTATATATGGGTGGGGGTGTGGGTGGGGGTGTGGGTGGGGTGAGGGGGTAGGTGCCCCTGCTCCCATTCTCCGTCCCTGATTACAAAGTAAAATACAATTGGAGTTAAAATGAAAAGCACGTATTAGGCCATTCGCTTCGCTGCAATTTGCAGTGATGCCAAGATGACGTGGCAATTTTGTCTTCTTTAAACAAATGGCCACGTCTTTAGCTGTTGCAATTCTGACCTAAGCAAATTTGCATTTCTACGGTCAGAATTGCAAAGGCACTTTTTAATTTTAAAATTATTATTATTATTATATTATTATTAGGACTTTTTGATTGATTAAAGAAATAAGAAATAATGTTTAAATTGACCACTGAACGTAACCTAAAAATATAATTAAGTCACTGAATAAAAAAAAAAGTATAATTAGGCCACTGAACATTTCAAATGTAGGCAATTTCACTTGATATCAAGTTATCATTAATTTTAACAGGTTACCTGCTTACGTGGCAGCTGCGTTGATATTTTTAATAAATTTTAATAATAATTTTTTTAAAAAATTATTTTTAAAAAATTTATTATTAAAATTATTTAAAAATTATAAAAAATGTCAACTCAGCTGCCACGTAAGCAGGTAACCTGCTAAAATTGATGGTAACCTGTTATCCCGTGAAATTGCATACATTTGGAGTGTTCAATGGCTTAATTGTACTTTTTTTTTTTTTTTGTTCAGTGACCTATTTATATTTTCATGTTATCTTTAGTGGACAATTTGAACCTTATTCTAAGAAATAATTTTGTATAAAGCTAGCCATATGAAAGTGAATCATTTTTGAAGGAGGAAAGAGAATTATATAAAGAACGAATAATGATTAATTGCAAATTTAGTAATATCACATTTTGAAAATGAGAAAAGATTACAAGGGTGTCGACCATCTTAATAAAATACAAAGAGAATAGTGACACGTATGATTTAAAAGTGATTAGGAGAGAGAATGTGGGAAGGGGAGGAAAAAAAAACAAAAAAATCAAAATCAAAAATTAAAAAACAAAAAAAAAAATTAAAAAAAAAAAGAGTCAGGCGCGCCGCTCGTGTGGGCGGGACGCGAAACGCGCATAGCAACCTCCTTTCTCTTCTCTTTCTTTTTCTTCTTTTTCTGCATTCTCCTTGAATTTGCAAGAGAAATATCTCCACCCCACACTTGTTATTATTCCTACCCGAGATAATTCATCTGACATTATCTCCATAATATCCACCGATGTGGATGCTCTAAATGGTTGTGTCTAAAAGTTTTAAAAGGTCCACATCAATCGGAAAGTCATCATCAGTCGTCCAATCAATTAGTCCTTGGTGATCGTCGTCGTAGAGCAAATCCCACCACTTCACGCCGTCGTGGGACGGCGGCGCCGTTGTTTGTGCCGGAAAATTAGTCGCCATTGAGTTATTGTTTTGTTGGACATTAAATACCATTAGCAAGTCCGCCGGCGGCGAAGTTGCTTCCGGCTGTGCTTGGAGTTGATGATGATGAGGAGGAGGAGGAGCATCATAGGCGACAGCCTTAGCTTTTCCGGTTAGTGTCGACAACGCCGGAGATGACAACGAGGTCCTAAAGAATCTCCTAGGTCGAGGCCTAAAGAGGATGTTTTCCTTGATTTGTGGGGCTTTGCCCTTCTCATCATCCCAATTATTATCTTGCCTGCTGCTATTAGAAGAAGCCATATGCATGCCAACTACCTTCTTCTTAAGATGGCTGTGCCAGTAATTCTTCACATCGTTTGCTGTTCGTCCCGGAATTCTGCCAGCAATAAGCGACCACCTAGCCACATATAAGCATACTTATTAGCTTATTACAACAAATAATTAATACAGAGGGAAAATTGTAATTTATGTTCCTGCATAATATGTCAATTATGGGAGGGATAATATATGTTCTGTTTTGAAAAATCATTACTGAAAATTATAGAATTTCTGATCACCTAAAAGTGATCTTAAATCAAGTCGAAAGCCTTGTTCCCATCACTTTTGTCATCCGGAAAAACCTTTGTTGCTATTTCCGACCACTTTTTGCTTTCGACTTGATTTAAAATTATTTTCAGGTGGTCGAAAATTCCATAATTTCCAGTGCTGAATTGAGGGCAACATTTACACTACTAATAATTCAGAAGTAACATTGATAATTGACATATTATGAAAGCACATAAATTATAATTTAGAGATATTGGGCTTGTTTGGTTATCAGCGCTTAGCGGTAGTGGGTTGTATTAGCGGTTAACGAACTTGCCTGTTGCCTAAGAGCTTATGGAGGCGTAGAATGAGATCAGCTTCTTCCAAACTGAAATGGCCTCTCTTTATATCAGGATGGAGATAGTTCAACCATCTCAATCTGCAACTTTTTCTGCACCTATTCAACCCTGCAATACATATATATATTTCTACATGCATGAAGGGACCGAATTCTTGAAATGTTTAATTCATTATATACTTATATATATTAGTTACTTTACCAGCTCTAAAGGGAACTAGGTGCCATTTTCCTTCACCAAATTTCTGAATGCATTTCCTCAAAAGGTCATCTTCTTCCTCCGACCAAGCACCCTTTCTCACTCGCGGAGACCACCTTGCAGAAGAATTAACCATGGCAGGCTGACGTAAATTCTTACGTAGTGGGTACTTACGTTGTTTTGCGTGCAGTGGGTAGCTAGCTAGAGCCAAAATGCAGAAAAAATGAAAACAGAAACTTCGACAAGTGCAATAGAACACAGCACTAGGACCTAGTTACCAGAACTGTAATATATAACCAGAAAAATATTACATAATCCCCAGAATTATTGATTGAGTTTGTCTATTTTCCTGGAAAAGAGTGTGTCTACTTTCCCGGAGAGGAAAGAAAAAAAGTGACCTTTACATTTTAATTATAATGTTTATAACGTTTATAATGTAAAGTTAAAAACATTAACATCCAAGTCGTGAGGAGTTAATTTGACAAAATCTTGTCTGCCACGAGTCTCCTCCCCCTTCTGCAAAAATATTCTCTATACCGTACTATATCATTCAAATAATTTAAAAAGCTAAGTTTAATGGTACATACACTAGTGCAATTCCACATCCACTTTTCAATCTGGGACAAAAAGTTAAATTAAAGCTAATAAGATAATTAGACAAGATATTGAACCCGAGTGAGTGCCCTCTTGGTCTAACTCATCAAACACTAGTACATAAATAACTTTTAACGTCGGTTAAAAAGAGACATTATTCAAAGAGACGATGTACAGTAAACATACGACGTCGATTAAATAAAAACCGAAGTTGTAAATTTATTTTTTTTAAAAAACAAAACTATACAACGTCGGTTTTTTATATAACCGATGTCGTATATTTTTATTTTTTAAAAAAATTAAATTTACAACGTCGGTTATATCGATTTATTTTTTTAAAACATTTTTTTTCAATAATATACCACATCGGTTTTTGACTTTAAAAACCGACGTGGTAAGGTAATTTTTAAAAAATAAATACACACAACATCAGTTATACAATTAACCGCCGTCGTATGTATTTAAATATAGATTTGTTTTATAACGATTCCACCTCAAAAAAAACTGATGTGTTATATTTATTTTTAAAATATTACATTTTATTTGTCAATTTATACCCAAAACCTGCTCAATATATATATATATATATATATATATATATATATATATATATATATATATCACAACCAAAACATCACTACTGGAAATCTTTAATTTTCCAACCACCTAAAAATATGGTCGAAAAGTGCATTTTTAAAATTTTTTGTTGTGGGGGAATATGTCAGAATTTCCGATCACCTTTACTTTTTTTGTTTGTTTTTTTTTTTTTTGAATGCTACTGACTCTATTTCAAAGTAAAGGTGGTCGGAAAATAAAATTCGACAGTTTAAATTTTTTAAATTGAGTTGGGAATTTTCACCTATCTTTGTAGTAGCTAATTTTTTCGACCACTTTAAAAATTTGGATGCTATTTCCGACCACTTTGTCCAGTGGTCGAAAAGAGCGACAAAGATTTTTTCGGACACCAAAAGTGGTCAGAAATTCCTTGATTTCGAGCAATATATGTAGAATTTAATATTTATAATCTCACAATTAATAAAAATGATAAATCTCATAATTGATAGTATCATAGTAATTAATAATACGATTTATATCTAAAATTATCAATATCAATTATATTACTTAACGTACTAATCAAGTAATGTACTAACCCATTCACCAATTAAGAACTTCGCTCATACGTCTCTAACTTCATTAATCTCTTATTGATTGTAGCTCAGTCTACCAATTCTCCACGATCTACAAAGTTGAGAATTAATAAATAATTAGTAAGATAGTATTTTTAAAGTTTGAAATGAGAAAGTTATTTTATTAAACTAGTATTTTCACCCATGCGATGCACTGAGTTGATTTGTTATATGTTAAGAATATTTGGATCGATATACAATTATTTAAATTATAAAATCAAATATTATATAGTGCAATTGAATATATGATTTGGATCGTTTATGTTTGTTGATGTTATCATTGCTTGAAGCCGAGCAAATAATTGCTCAAATTAATAGCTAATGTGTAGATGTACGCATGTGGTGATGTACCTTTAGAGATTTTATATATCATTGTTTAAGATTTTTATAAATTGGGAAAATGTGCTCGTTCTCTAGCAACTTAGTTATAGTAATCAATTGCTATCCTAATTTATTTGTATAGAGGATATATTTTTGTCTAGATATATAACAATTTCACTACAAGAAAAATGCACATAGACAACACTAGAAAGACAACAGTTTTTAACAAAAGTGTTGTCTTTTGTATAAAAGACAACAGTTTGGTCCAAAACCGTTGTATTTGATGCAACACTTTTGTCAAAGACAACGGTTTTTACTTAACCGTTGTTATAAGTGTGTGTTGTCTTTGTGCAATTTGAGAAAAGACAACACTTCAACGAAATCGTTGTCTATGTGTGTGTGTGTGTGTTTTTTTTTTTTTTTTTTTTAAAGCAACGATTTTATTTAACTGTTGTCTTTGATATGTTGTCTTTTTAAGTGTACTTGAATAGTTATTTTGTTAATTAATACCATTTATTTCATATACTTAGAAATAATACTATTTTAATATTAGTGTCCATAATATTCGGATTTGACACCATAAATTAACATTAGATCAAATAGAGAGGATTTAAGTCATTATTATGAATAACCTAAAAACAGAGTCCTTTGTTGTAAAGGACCACGGAGGAGAATGTAATTTCTACATGTTTTCTTTTAGATACAAGTTATATATATAGTCAAAAAATAATCACTAACACTAACATAATAAATCAATAAAAACTAATATTCAAAAAAATAACACTAATATTTTTATTTCACCTTAACACAAACACAATAAATCAACAAAAATTATTATTCAAAAAATAACACTAATATTGTTCTTTCACCTTAACACTAACACAATAAATCAACAAAAACTAATATTAAAAAATAACATCAATATTCCAAAACTAACACTAATATTGTTCTTTCACATTAACAATAACACAATAAATAAATAAATAAATAACTAATATTAAAAAAATAACACTAATATTCAAAATAAGTCAACAAAAACTAAAAAGAAATTTCTTAAAATATCATATATAACACACAATAACATACAATAATATTCAAAATAGATCAAAAAAAAAAATCAAATATACAAATATAATTTGAAATAAATTCAAAAATAAATATAAAAATCAAATATACTTACTGTCAAAGCCGCCGGTAGTGGGCTGGTTGGCGGTCGTTGCCGGCGAGGCAGCAAGTTGGCGAGGAGGTGGTCGTTGTTGTGGTGGTTGCAGGCGATGAGGCGGTTGCCGGCGACAAGGTGGTTGGCAGCTGTCTGCTAGAAAGATGCGAGGCGGTTGCCGGCGAGGGGAGGCTACCGAAGGCGTGGCGGATAGAGTGATTTTCCGATCTGATTTGTTTTTTTAGGGTTACGTTTAATGTCGCGAAAGTTTTAAATCTGATAGCGTTTTTATTATTAGTATATTATAGTAACTTCCGTGGCACCCTCTTGGGGTGGGGTGCCGCGGAAAATTAAATTATTATACTAATAATAAATTTTTCGCGACACCTGCCTAGGAGGGTGTCACAGAAAGTTATATTATTATTATAATAATAAAATTTTCGCGGCACCCCTTCGCAACTGGTGCCGCGGAAAGTTCCAACTTTTTCTTTCCACTACACCTTCATCATGAAGGTGTAGTGGAAAGTGCTACTTATATTTCCAATTTTGTAGTAGTGCTCATTCAAACAATCAACAAATGAATATTTTGTCACGATGTCAAACATGTATTGCATGACATAATATCTACCCTCAACACCTTCTGGTTGTATCGGGCACTATAAAATACATATATATTTTAGTAATTAAAAAAATTTATTGTAAATCAAAATATCACATTAAAACTTTAATTCAATTTTCATACATACCTTGCATTGCTTCTAATTAATGTTCCTAACCCGTCCATTCGTAGGAACAGAGTGAAATGTCGTATATTAATTATAAACATACATAAAAATTTGTAAATAATATAATATAAATTAATTCATCGAAATGCCCTTAATTCATCAAAATTCCAAATGTATAATCAAAGTATACATAACTCATCAAATTTAATCTGACTAACTAAACTACATAAGTCATATTCAATATATATACCCAACTAAGCAAATACCTAATTTATCAAACTAACTAATTCATCAAAATACCTATTTCACAAAAAAAAAAATTAAATTCAAAATTTAACATTTAAAATGCCAAAATTCAAAATAGAATAATAATAGTAATTCTTGTAGTATGCCCACTTTAATATTTAATCATAATAACTCACCTTTAAAATTATCAAATTTCGAAATAAAAAATAAAAACAATTTTTTTTTTTTTTGAATAAAAACAATTCAAATGTATCAACATACACACATTAATATATAAGCACAAAAAATAATCATAAATTTATACATATATTTACCAATATTCATATTCTTTAACATAACAATATATAAAATTAAAAACTAATCACAAATTAACATAAATTCGAAATAAAATTTCTAAAACTCATAAAATATTACATTTATCAAAATAAAAATAAAACAAACATATATTATAAACCATTAAAAAAAGGGGGACCCTACTGTGGTAGTGGAGGCAGCGACCGACGGCTGAAGCTGGGGCGGAAGCGTATCGGTGGTAGCGTCGGCGTCAGCGTCGCAGGGGAGGCTGTAGCGGACTCATAGATCGGCAAAAACGACGGTGGTTGCGTCGGTTGTGGATGTTGTGGCGGTGGTACCGTCGACGGCTGTGGCGGCTGTGGCGACTGTGGGTGCGTCGGCATTGCGGTAGTGGAGGCGTCGCGTTGCATACGTGGAGGATGAGAATGTTACGGATCTAATTTGGGAGACTAGTTCAGATCTGATAAGGTCCAACTTTCCATACCATTTCTAAGAGAAACAGTAACGGAAAGTAAAAAGATTTTTTTAAAAAAATATCCAAAATATCCACGACTATTTCTATTTGAAACTGTCACGGAATGTATTACCTTTTTAAAAAAAAAAAAAAATTAATATGTACTTCCTGTGACCCTTTTTGTTACAAAGAACGGTCGCGGAAAGTAAAAGCGTTCTTTATTAAATCGCGTTCGTTTTAATTAACAACGGACGTGGATTCTTGATAAATTATTTACGAAATTCTCACCGTGAAATTTTTTAAAGAATACACTACCCTTGTTTTAAGAACAGTAGCGAAATGTCAATCTCCTATGCCT